TACTGTTTCCAGGGCTCCTGTGTGCATGGGAGTGACGTCATCGCAGCTCTGCAGGTCAGACGGCCAGAGCCCGCAAACCTGGAAGGAAGACTGGGTGAAGATGGAGACCCTGTCATGCATTGCGTACTAGCACATTAAGATATTGCCTTGCAATTTTTTTTAAGTTTTACTATCACTTTAAGTAACAAAAACATACTTGTATGTGGTTGTTAAGTTTATTTGCTCTAATAAATTTTAAAGATCTTTGCAAGGTCATGGAACCTTAATTCACCCACGAGGCCCAGGTCTGCTGCAGAAAGGATTTTCGACAGTCTAGACCAAGTGGAATCAGGTAGCTTGACCTCATTGTCTATTAACAGTTTATTAGGTTGTATTCTGTATCTATACATATTTATTGCTTTGGGAGGGATTGTTTGGAAGCATACAGCCAGCAGGTTTTTCTAGTATCATAGCTTCAGTTTGAGCTTGCCAGCTAAGCTGTAGACAGTTTTTTTACACACATCCTGCTTATAGTGACATCAGATTTTCTCCCTTTTTCCATAGACAAGAAGTTTAAAAAAGCATTTAGTAGGGCATAGGGCAACTAGGTTTACCAAGACAAACTGTGTTATTGGTTATTTATCAGCCAAGAAATGAATCCCTAAAACTTTAATAATTTATGTTGTGGCCCAGCTCTGAAGAGCGTACACAATGCACCCCATAAGACAGCATTCAGATCTGGCAATTGGCTGTTCCAGCATCTAGAGCTGCATTGTGGCAGGCAGAGAAGAGTCCCTCCCGCTCCCCCAACCTAATTTCAGTTCATCTATGGTCAGTTTATGCCTGCTGGGTCCTCCCGAGTCATTAGAATGAAACATTTATCTGCGCACCTTTTTGCATGAGGTCGTGCTTACTACCAAGAAGCTAATAGCTTTTGTGTGGGTACAAGATAGGGCACCTACCTAACAAGAATGGATTAACCCCTTTATGATGGAAGTTTGGCACATGTTAGCAAAACTGTACATAACACATCAACTACTTAACGTGACTGTAAAGATTTTTTTTTTATTTAAAAAAACATGTTATGCTTACTTGCTCTGTGTAAGTTTTTGGTTTTGCACATAGTGGCCCTGAACCTCCTCTTCTTGGGTCCCTTGCCTGCACTCTCCACTCCTCCTCTTCCTGGTGCACCTCCATAAGAAGCTGTTTGCTATGGGGACCCACCTACAGGCTCGATCCTGATCTGCGCTGTTTGCATCTGTAGACCTGGCTTGGCCCTGCCCCCAGCTCTCTGCTCACAGAATTTAATTGACAGCAGCGGAATGCAATGGTTCCTGTTGCCTCTGTGAGCAGAGAGAGAGAGGAGAGAGCTATTGCAGACAGGCACAGTGCTGGATCGAGATCTGGCCCATGAATGTTTTACGGACAGTGAGGGGGTGCTTTGGATACAGGGACATATTCTTTACCCTAATGCAGGGAATGCGTTTAAGGTAAAAATGTCCAGCCTTTATCAAGTTGGGCTGCCTCCAGTTGGGTAATATGGCTTTCCAGGGATGTAAGCGAGGATTCCCCAGTGGTGACCCAATCTGCCAACTGCTGTACCTCTGTGAAAACAGAGTGCAGGTCATGGTGGTGTGCTTCTTCTAGTTTGAGGAACAAACAGGGCCAAAAGAAAACTTGCCCAAATAGTAAAACATTTTTTAATGTAACAGTTTTTTTTTTCCATATTTCACCAAAAACACTCTCCTACCGCTAATATTGGGGGTGATTCCACACGTGCGGATTATTTTTTGTTTGTACTTGTAATAGGGCCAAGAAACAATTGTGCTCATTTTTCTTTTTTATTATACTGAAACACACTGACACTAAAAAAAAAAAAAAAAAAAATTTTAATCGTAACTAAAACACCCTGACTCTAGCCTAAATCAAGCCCTAATCTAGCTATTTTTTCTTATTTTTTTTTGTTTTTACTCACATACTTTTTTACTTGTTTGTTTCTGTTTTCTTCTAGCTAGGAGAAAGATACATATATTGCCAAAAGTATTGGGACGCCTGCCTTTACACGCACATGAACGTTAATGGCATCCCAGCCTTAGTCCTTAGGGTTCAATATTGAGTTGGCCCACCCTTTGCAGCTATAACAGCTCCAACTCTTCTGTGAAGGCTGTCCATAAGGTTTAAGAGTGTATCTATGGGAATGTCTGACCACTCTTCCAGAAGCGCTTTTGTGACATCAAGCAGGGATGTCAGACTAGAAAGCCTAGTTCACAGTCTCTGCTCTAATTCATCCCGAAGGTGTTCTTTCAGGTTGAGGTCAGGGCTCTGTGCAGGCCAGTCAAGTTCCTCCACCCCAAACTCGCTCAGCCATGTCTTTATGGACCTTGCTTTGTACACTGGTGCGCAGTCATATTGGAACAAGAAGGGGCCATCCCCAAACTGTTCCCACAAAGTTGGGAGCATAAAATTGTCCAAAATGTTTTGGTATTCTAACGCCTGCATTGGAACTAAGGGGCCGAGCCCAACCACTGAAAAACAACCTCACACCATAATCCCCTCTCCACCAAACTTTACATTTGGCACAATGCAATCAGGCAAGTACTGTTCTCTTGGCAACCGCCAAACCCAGACACACCCATCGAATTGCTTGACAGAGAAGCATGATTCGTCACTCCAAAGTACACATCTCCACTGCTCTAGAGTCCAGTGGTGGCATGCTTCACAATACTGCATTCGACATTTTGCATTGCACTTGGTGAAATAAGGATTGGATGCAGCTGCTCGGCCATAGAGACCCATTCCATGAAGATCTCTATGCACTGTTGTGCTAATCTGAAGGCCACATGAAGTTTGAAGGTCTTTAGCTATTGACTCTGCTGACAGTTGGCAACTTCTGGGCACTGTGCTCTTCAGCAGGCACTGACCCTGCTCTGTCATTGTATATAGCCTTCCTGCTGTTGTTCCCACCTGCTTCCACTTTGTTATAAAACCACTAACAGTTGACAATAGCAAGGAAAGTTCACGGATGGACTTATTGTACAGGTGGCAACCTATATTGGTACCACGCTTGAATTCACTGAGCTTCTGAGAGCAACCCATTCTTTTACAAATGTTTGTAGAAGCAGTATACATGCCTAGGTGCTTGATTTTATACACCTGTGGCCATTGAGGTGATTGGAACACCTGAATCCAATGATTTTGAGGGGTGCCCCAATACTTTTGGCAATAAAGTGTAGATTAGATAGAAACAATTTGGGGTATGTGGCAAACAGAATCTTCTACTTGCTGTCCATGCAGCTTCTTGAACAGTATGGGGGAGATTTATTAAAACTGGAGCATGTGAAATTTGGTGTAGCTCTGCACAGATGCTAATCAGCTTCCAGGTTTTATAGCTTAACTGATCAAGCTGAAGTTAGAAGCTGATTGGCTACCATTATTATTATTCAGGATTTATATAGGGCTAACAGTTTGCAGCACTTTACAAAATGAAGGTAGACATTACAGTTACAATACAATTTGGTACAAGAGGAAACAGAGGACCCAGCCCATTACATGTCACAATCTAGGTGGAATGGTTGAGTGATACAAAAGGTAATAGCTGTGGGGGATGAGCTGATGGAGGAAATAAAAAGGCAGTTTACTAGTCAGATTCAGGATAGGCTTCTTTAAAGAGAGAGGTTTTTAGGGATCGTCTAAAGGTGGATAGATTAAGAGATAGTCGGACAGATTGGGGTAGGGAGTTCCATAGGATAGGAGAAGCTGGGAAAAGTCCTGGAGGTGAGCATGGGAGGAGTTGACATGGGAACTAGACAGCAGAAGGTCTTGGAGATCTTCCATGCACAGCTGCACCAGCTTTAGTAAATCTATCACATTTAGTAAATGTGTTTAGATGCAATGTGTTGCAGTGATATATTGTGATCTGTTATGTCTAAGATTACTAGTAAACCGGAGTTCCACTCACTCTGTAAAAAAATAAAAGTCAGCAGCTACAAAAACTGCAGCTGCTGACTTTTAAAAAACAGCCACTCATCTGTCCCACAATCCTGCGTTGCCCCCTCTGCAGCCCGTGTCACCTGCCATTCTGTATTCCAGGTGCCGGCATCTTCAGTGTGGGCACCCGGCTGTGCCGGCTTGCGGCTTCGCAGCCAGGTGCCCACTGTGCATGCGCGAGTAGCGCTGCACTTCCTGAATGGCCCCATCATCTTCTGGGACTTGTCACATGTCCCACAAGACTTCGGGGAAGGTAGGACAAGTTCGTTTCTGATCACAGCGGGAGCGAGTACCTGTCAAATTCTGGTGCCCTTTCCCCCCCCTCTCCCCAAAGGTGCCAATCCTTAATGGGGAGCGGGGGACCAATCTTTAAAGCGGAACTTCCCCTTTTGGGTGGAACTCCGCTTTAAGTTCATATTATCCTTATATTTGAGATGGCACATGACAATATTAGTTTTGGTTTAAGTTTTCATAGTGTCTCTACTTATTCCGTAATTGTATGGGCTTTGTCAAAGTGCAAACTAATGTAGCAGTCTGTGATTAGGTCTGCTTTCATTTGTCTTCAACAATGTAATAACATTGTAATACATTCCTTCTGTGTATGCTATATTGCAGAGACCTTGTCTTACCTATTCTTTTGGTGGAATATGCACAACATTCTGTAGGTGCATATCTTTTTCAGCATTGATATTGTTACTTTTATGCCCATTGCAATACTACGTTTGGTTTAAAAAAAAGCATCTGTATACATTCACTGCTAAAAAGCTGGATGGGAATTGTGGTCTCTGAACCTTGATCAGAAAAATGTTGCCATTGGAGGCAACATATTTTGAGTGTGGTCCCTCTCTTCCACAATCATGACATACCTCTTCTTCCTTTTTTTTTTTTTTTTTAAGGAGAAATAAGGTTAATGTTTCTGGCCTATGGTACCTTTTAGATGTGGAAACTTTCAGGAAAATGGCATTTTGTTAAAGCGGTGCTCCACTCAAAAGGGGAAGTTCTGCTTTGAGGACTGCTCCCCCGCTCCCCATTAAGGATTGGCACCTTTGGGGAGTGGGTACCTGAATTTGACAGGTACCCACTCCCACTTCCTTCCTGTCTCCGATCGCCTAGGCGAAGGTGTCCTCCCTCCCTGTAGTCTTTTGTGACACATGACAGGTCGCAAGCTGTCACAGCCGGGTGCCCACACTGAAGGTGCTGGCCTCCTGGAATACAGGACGGCCGGAGAAACGAGCTGCGGGGGACACACCACGGGACAGAGGGACAGGTAAGTGACTGTTTTTTTAAAAGTCAGCAGCTACAGTTTTTGTAGCTGCTGACTTTTATTTTTTGATAGGTTGAGTGGAACTTCGCTTTAAGTTAGGTGTTAAGTTACATGTTCCCAACCAATTGTCATTACCAAAATTCACCCTCCATTTTGTTACTTTGCTATGCTGTTTGCCTGCATGAGTAAAAAAGAAACAGTCTTGTGCATGCCACATGTTGGTGGCAAGGACTTTCTCTCCTCTCCACGTGAGAATACTTGGGCCTGGCTACTAGCTGCAAAAGGTTGCGATTGTGGGAGGAAGTTGCAAGCTCCGTTCATACCCAAATGCAGGGTTGAGTCAGGAAAGTGCTGTGAGGGGTGACAGGCTTAGCTGTGGGTTGAGCCGCCTCTGACTCTATTATTGCTTTTGCCATCTCCTGCACTGTGCATGGTTTGGCATGGACCAAAAGGTGATTAACACCTAGAAATGGCACCAGCCATTGTCCTTCACTGTGCTTTGTGCTGACCCAGGGGCTGCTGTGTGTGTTGACGTGCAATTTCCATCTACCGTGACCTGGGAGGCACACTTTGGTATGTTTGCCATAGGTGCCAGAGGACCTTGTCCTGGCACTGTCCTAAAATATTAGGCCTTTATTTTCTAGAAGGTGTACAAAGTGGCAGGAGAGTGAAGTAAAGTTTAGAACAGCCAAGAATTTAAAGCGGAGCTTCACTCAAAAGGGGAAGTTCCACTTTAAGGACTGCTCCCGTGCTCCCCATTAAGAATTGGTACTATTGGGGGGTGGGGGAGCGGGTACCCGAATTTGATAGGTACCCGCTCCCACTTCTGGTCCGATCTCCTAGGCGACCAGAAGCAGAAGGTGTCCTACCTCCCTGTAGTCTTTGGGACACATGACAGGTCCCAGAAGACTACAGCACCATTCATGAAGCGCAGCGCTACTTGTGCCTGCGCAGTGGGCACCGGCTGTAAAGCTGCAAGCTGTCACAGCCGGGTGCCCACACTGAAGATGCCAGCGCCTTGAACACAGGATGGCCGGTGAAACAGACTGTGGGGGACAGGTAAGTTGCTGTTCTTTAAAAGTCAGCAGCTACAATTGTTGTAGCTGCTGACTTTTATTTTTTGACAGGGTGAGTGGAACTCCACTTCAAGTGAATTTGTTGCTTTGTTGTACATAGGCAGGGCTGCTGTTAGATATCACGGGGCCCTCTACAGCCTACCTGACAGGGCCCCCCTCCACCGCCAGAGAAAATATCAAAATTATATTTATGGAAACAATACACTAAAAACGTTATTAATGTACACAATCCCATCAAAATTCCTGTTAAATCTAAATGATAAATCTGTACTGAGTCAAAAATTAAAGCTCTGTGTGTAACTGAGGTCTTGGGGCTCATTCACATGGGTGCTGTGGCCTGTAGAGTGTGAATCAGTGGTTTGTTTATGTGGATGTTTGCAGGCAACCTATGTTACACTATGTTCCAGTGCATTTTTGGTGCATTCCGGTGCATTTTTGATGCATTTTACTGCGTTACAGTACAGTTCTGTGCAGAAAAAATGCAGCCTGTTCTACTTTTTTTTTTCTGCAACTGGAACACACTGGAACTTCATGCACTGATGTGAACTATGACATTGACAACCTTATAACCTACTTTCTGTGCATTTTGGATACAGAAAAAAAAAAAACTGAAACGCATGTAGTGTGAACTGGCCCTAAAGGGTTTTATAGATAAGGGAATGGGACTGACCAGGAATTGTGGAGGCAATCAGACTAGTGGTGAGATACAATTAGGAATCTTATAATAATGGTAGATTTGAGCTGTAAGTGATAGGAAATGAAACACATTAACTAGATCAGTAAATAAATAGTTAAATAAAGAGTTGAGCAGGGAACAGAAAGGGATCAGCAGTCTGGGGGAGAGGAAAGAAACAAAGTTGCAATCAACTATAAACAGAAGGAAACTTGAAAGAGTCAAACTTGTGGAGCAGAGCTACCATTCACTACACAGAGCCCTGTGTGATAGAATGACAGGAGGCTAACAATGGAATTTAGCAGCTGCAGATGGGCTTGTCAGCTGCCCAGGCCCCCCTCTGCAGCTGATGGGGCTGGGCCCCCTACAGGAAGGCTGGGGGTACCCCCTTATTAGCGGCCCTATACATAGGCATACTATGTTCACTTTCAGCACTGAAAAAAAATAAGAAAAAAAAATACTAGCAGGACTGACTTTTGCCACAAACTGTTTCATTCAAGGTATGTAAAGGTGTCTACAAATTTCACAGGCAGGGCCAACTTTAAGACAAAGTTTGTGCTTGCAGGAAATCTTGCTGTGAGCCAATTGTGGTTTTTTCAAAGCAGACAAAATCTTTTTTTTTTTTGTAAAGACAGTAAAATAAATGGGTAACTGAGCCACCTTTGGAGATTACAGAGTAAACTTTGGCGGACTGACATGTTATTAGATGTTTAAAAAACATTGTTTCTGCACAATTAAAATGTATTTACTATGCAAGAATGAAACCTGATTGCAAAATTCAGTTGCTGAAACAAATATGCTAGTACAACCTAAGACAAGGCTTAAAAATTCCTCTCGCCCGCTCGCCAAATGCGAGGGTAAATTCTTTTCTGGTGAGCACAGATGGAACGGGTGGCTTGCAATGCAATCCCCAGGCTCCGGGGATCGATTTGCGTTCCGCTTGCGCTCCAAGCCTCGTTTTGAATCCGACGGTTTCCGGGGGACAGGTGCAGGAGAGGTCCACTCTCCTCCGCTGAGAGGAGACATGAGGAGAGGCCCTCTCTCCACTGCCATGGGGACACGAGGAGAGGCCCGCTCTGCACCGCTGTGGGGGACATGAGGAGAGGCCTGCTCTCCACCACTTTGGAGGACACGAGGAGAGGCCTGCTCTCCACCGCTGCGGGGGACACGAGGAGAGGCCCGCTCTCCACCGCCATGGGGAACACCAGGAGAGGCCCGCTCTCCACCGCCTTGGGGGACATGAGGAGAGGCCCGCTCTCCACCGCCTTGGGGGACATGAGGAGAGGCCCGCTCTCCACCGCCATGGGGGACAGGAGGAGAGGCCCGCTCTCCACCGCCTTGGGGGACAGGAGGAGAGGCCCGCTCTCCACCGCCTTGGGGGACAGGAGGGGGACAAAAGGAGAGGCCCGCTTTCCACTGCCGTAGGGGACATGTGAAGGAGAGATCCACCAATGGTGCAGAACCCTACACCCGCCAGCTTAAGGTAAATTACATTTTTTGTGCTGCGCTCCGGGGGCAAAATGATTTAATAAATGAGCCCTAAATAAAAAAAAAAAAAACGCCATTTTAGTGCTGCTCTCTGGGCCTAAATATTTCAAAAAGTAAAAAAGAAAAAAAAAAACAAAGCACAGCATACCTATGCACAATCAGCTACAAATTTCATGTAAAAATAAAATATATTTTCAATAAAATTGGTAGCTGTCTATGCATAGGAACCCATATGCTGAATAAGTACTAACTACTTATTGGCAAAAAAAAAAGTAAAAAAGAACACATACTCATATGGTAGTGGTGAAAATTATCAGTACCCTCCCAGTTTTGACTGTGGTATCTTATCTGCACCCTGTTTTTTTTTCCTAGAGTCGCCATTGGTCCTTCACAATTGTAATGTGTGGACAGACCCACCAAGCAAGCAGCCGTGCTCCGCCCTGCAGAGACAAGCTCCTGAAAGGCAGCCCAGCCAGCAGACACACCGAGCCACCAGAGGAGCCTTCAAGCAGACCAGCCTTTAATCAGGCCAGCCTTTAATCTGAACTGCCGTTAATATGAACAACTGCCGTTGATGTGACCTGCCATTGATGTGACCTGCTGTTGAGCTGAACTGCCTTGTTTAATCTGAACTATGCCTATAGGCAGCCAAGACCAGCCTTGACAGTACAACTAGCATGATCAAATGTCATGGAGGATCTTCTTCAGCCTGAGTCATCTGTGGCAGCCCAGACATAATACAAAAAAGTGGTCCTAATTTCCAGTATTCAACCCATATCTCCTACCAGTGAGTTTTTCCTTATTTTTTTTTTTTGGTCTCTTTGTTTACACTGCAACATGAAACAGAGCAAATTAATTTTTTTTTTTTACAGAAAAAGATCATCCTACTATTGTGGAGTCCCAGTCAAACCCTGTAGTAAAAGAGAATTTATCAATAGCTAATTCAGTTGCTAGTAGTGGCTTGCCACAAACTTCCACTGCCGTCATAACTCAACAGACAAATGACGATGATGCAGGAAAGACCGCAAAAAAAAATGCTGTTTTAGTACACATTGGCTGGATCAGTTTTCATGGCTTGCTTACTCCAAGGAAAATGATACAGTTATATGTAAGGTTTGCAGTCGGTTCCCCCAAATTTCAGATGAAAAATGGGCAAATGGCGTAAAAGCTCAGTTTAAAAGGGAAACGTTTGTATGGCAAATGACAAATGTAATAAACACAAAGAGAATATTGGTAAGGCAAAGGCTAGAGACAACCCTGAAGAAAGACCTTTAGCTATGTGTATCAGAAAAAGCGGCACAGCAAAGTTTCAGCACATGACACACATGTTTAACATTGCTTATTACGTAGCTAAATGTGAAAAGCAATTTCTAGATTTCCCTTATTAACATGGAGTGCCAAACTAGATGTGCCAGTTCTGCAGAAATATGGATGTAATGTTCAATGCAAACAATTCATTCATTTCATCGCAAGAATAATCAGAGAAAGTCTTGTGGCAAACATTAAAAAGTCTCCTTTTGTTGGCGTTATGATTGATCTACAGATTGAACCTACACTGAACATGCAAACATTTATGTCCGTTATGTTTTAGAAGGAGATGTCAAAGAACATTTTTTGGGTACATTTGCGCTAGAAAATGCTACAGCCAAAGGTTATTTCAAAGGATTGACTGCCTTTATGGATAATTTGCATCTTAATTAAGGCAAACTTCAGACGGGCCCAGAGGCTCTTCATGGGTTGCAGGCTTGGGAACGGATGGAGCTGCAAGCATGCTTGGCCACAAGTCAGGTTTAGCAGTCCAGATGAAAGAAGTCTGCCCACAGATGATCAGCGTACATTGTGTGGCTCATCGCTTGCAGCTTGCGATCTTGGATGTTTGCAAGAAAATGCCATACCTACAAACATTCAATGAGGTGGTGCGGCGTGTCTTCAAATATTATCATTGCTCAGCAAAACACCTTATGCAACTTAAAGATCTCGCAAACATTTTAAGTGAGGAAATCTTGAAAATTAAAGATGTACACACAGTGCGCTGGTTATGCAGCAAAGTTGAGGCCATGCGTGCTTTTCTGCAAAACTGGAAGACAGTAGTGAGCCATTTTGAGCATATATCAACTGAGGGATCATCTGAATCTGCTAAAGTTAAAGGCATCCTGAAAGACCTGAAACAGGTCATTACATTAGTAGTTGCATTTGATCATTTTTCATAGATCAAACTAATGTCTCCAAGTAGAGGTGATCTAAAGGCATCCTGCAAAAGGTTCATTACATTGAGTAGTTGCATTTGATCATTTTTTAGATCAAAAACTAATGGTCTCCAAGTAGAGGTAGATCTTTGCCCCATGAGCCATAACTTTATGACCACCCACCTAATTTTATGTAGGTCCCCCTTTTGCTGCCAAAATAGCCCTGATTAGTCAAAGCATGGATACCACTAAACCTCTGAAAATATTCTGTGGTATCTGGCACCAAGCCGTCAGTAGCAGATCTTTTACATCCTGTAAATTGTGAGGTGGGGTCTCCAAGGATCGGATTTGTTTTTCCAGCACATCCCACAGGTGCTTATATAATGTAAGTAATGTCCCTTGTGCTGATCCTTTTTAAAACATATTTTACCTAAATTAAGGCTTTACGAAATCAAAAGAGACATGTTTGTCCCGTTTGTTTTACATTTATATATGTTTTTCCTTTTTGTTAACGTTATTGTTATTACAGCTTGCAAACTGCTTTACAATAGAAAGGTAGACAGAATAATTACAATACATTACAATACATTTCAAGACTAGAGGGTTAGAAGGGCCCTACTCACAATACAAGTCAA